CATATGGGTGAACACCTCAAAATTTGGCTCCACCCCATGCATTTCACTTCCGGCTACATAGCCAAGGATGTTGAACCAGGAATTCGGGGCTAACTGCCATAGCCCCACCTCGTATCCATCGAGGATTTGTTGAACGACCGGATGCAAGGGAAATCAAAGCTCAGCCTTAATGGCCGCCTCGTAGCAGCCAAAATAGGCGTCACTGTAGCTTGTTCCCGCGGGCCAGACGACTGTATCCTCACCATCCGGCACAAATACATGAAAATCAGGACCCATCACATGGTCCGGTAGAAAAGAGTCTATTCGTTCCTTCATGGCCTTGATTCGGCCCTTTGGAACATGATAGTAATAAGGAGTATTCAACTCCCTATGAGAGGCAGATGGTTCCGACCAGCCGTCCCCCTTTTCAGCAGTATGAGAAAGTCTCGACTCATGCAAACGAGAGTGCCTTTCCTCTGAGTTTATAGAGAGGCGGCTTGAAGAACTAGAGTCAGACTCACTATCAGAAGAGTCCGACTCCTCCCCTCTCCCTGAGGGGGCCGACCCCTCTTCTTCTTCAGGGGTCGTCTGCTGACTGGCCAGGTCAACAATGAAGTGGGAAGGGGCTACCTTAGCTCCCTCCTTAGAGCTCTAGGTAGAAGGGCCACCTTGGGTCCCTGCGGTATCATGCGGCTGGTCCGACAGCTCACTAATCTGAACCCGGAAAGAGGAGCCATCAGAGTTTTCAATCCTCTTTGTCTTTTTTGTTCTTGTCATACTGTCCTGCATAGATACAAAGACATTTGGATTCCGGGACTTGCGCAAAGTTTGAAGTACCGCAGGGCAGTCGGCACCCCTAGTCCTAGACTCAGCCGTCCCCGGTGACCAGCTGATTGCTAACCTAGGTCGTGCCGGATGCTTTTGAGGTCTCATTTTCAAAAAAGAAAGAAAAAGTGCAAAAGCAAAAAGAATAAAGGAACAGACGGTTACATGAAGCTTAAGTTCTAAAGGAGAGCTTGATCGGACAGACGCCTAACAAAAGCAGTCGGCCTGTCAGAAAAAATCGACAGGTCAAAAGTTGCAAAGTGTCAGAGCTCAAGTTCAGGGGTCCAAGAGTTCTCTTGAAAAGTTCGCAAATGTGAACAAAAGACTTAGTCAATATGCCCTTATATTAGGCAAAAGGAGAATGCGAAGGGTCGCCTCCAAATTCAAAAAACGAGCGGGAAAAATGCTCGGCCCGTCATAGGGTGACACCTGTAGCAGGCCGTCGCCTGTTACAGGCCGACACCTGTCACAGGTGACATGTGAACAGTCACGTGCCACCTGTGAGGGGCAAATGATTAGGGGATTTTTCCCTACCAATCATCACCTAACAAGTGGACCATTCAGGCTCTGCCAAGTGTCCGCCACATGGACCAATTGGAGCCTGCCACGTGTCAAGTGTTGATCAGTCCACCTTGGACCTCTTATGCTACAACACGTGGCCTCCCCCATGCCAAATGGGAAAACCGGCCACCTAGGCCCAAAGTCTTGTGGAAGCCCAATCAGCCCTAGGTTAACCTAAACCTAGGACTGGCACGCATCCCAAGGCATATAAATACCTTCATTAATCCTCATTAATGGGGGTTAAGAACATTAATTACACTCACCTAAACACCTAGATCACTCCTCACCTAGAGGAACCAGATCTCCCAACCTTTACTTTTTCGCACTATTCACTTCTCATACACGTTCTAACTTGATCGTCGGAGGCGGAAGTCCCACCACAAGGAGTCTCCGTTGTTTTGCAGGTACAGGCGCAAGGATACCAATCCCGCAATTGTAACTTTCCCGCATGACATCAAAAAACCCTGAAACAGTATGTGCCACCTCTCATTTCTTCATAGATCCGGTATGGGCCTTCCCAATTGGGAGTCAACTTTTCTTGCTCATTGGTCCTAACGGTTGCCTCCATTTTCCATAACACAAAGTCCCCTACTTTCAAGGGCCGCTTATGTACTATTTTGTTGTAGGTTCTCGTCATTCTCAGACGGTAAATCTCATGACGCAAGGCGGCATTGCCCCTGAGCTCCGGGAGTGAGTCCAATGCTAGCCGCATGGCCTCCCAGTTAGTCTCATCGTCATACAGCATGACTCGAAGAGTCGGCTCATAGTGTTCAATGGGCAAGACGGCTTCTGCGCCGTATGCCATGAGAAATGGGGTTTCATCGGTTGCCCCTTTGCTGTTGTTCAGATGGCCCTAAGGACATGAGGCAACTCATCTGCCCATAGACCGCCTGCTCTTTCAATTTTCTTTTTAATGTTGTCTAAGATTAGCTTGTTGAAGGCTTCAACCTGGTCGTTTTCTTAGGGATGGCCGACTGATGCAAATTAAAGCAATGAGAGATCCCTTGGTCTCCCAACCAATTCTTGAGGGTAGGCGTCTCAAACTGAGGGCCATTGTCAAAGACCATAGACATAGGAACCCCAAACCGGGTGATGATATTCTTCTAGATAAAAGAGATGACATCCGTTGTCTTAATGCCCTTGAACGCCTCTGCTTCTACCCATTAGTGAAGTAGTCAACGGCGACTAGAATATAGCGCCGTCCGCCTGGTGCAGGCGTATATGGACCCAGAATGTCCATTCCCCATTTGGCGAATGGTATTGGGCTATGGATGGTTGTCACATCAGTGGCCGGACGGTGTATGAGTCTGCCGAATCTTTGACACTTGTTACACTTCTTTACCATTTCCATGGCGTCTGCCTCAAGAGTGGGCCAAAAGTAGCCTTGCCGCCTGGCCCTACCCGCTAGTGCCCTGCCGCCTATGTAAGAGGCGTAATAGCCCGAATGCAATTCCTCCAGAATTTCTTGCCCCCTTTTTGGGGTGATGCATTTCAAAAGAAGTTGCAGAAAACCCTTCTTGAAAAGCTCTCCATTATGAATCTCAAAGTTGGCCGCACGTCTTTTTATTGCAGCCATTTTTGGATATGTATCCGGCAAAGTGTCGTCTAGCAGGTAGGCCCGGATGCCATCCATCCAGGTTGAACTCCGGTCTAGTATTTCAATGGGATCTTTTTCAATACTTCGCTTTTCCATTACTTCCCAGAAGACTAACCGAGGCGTATCACAGGAGGCGGATGATGTCAGCTTAGAAAGAGCATCCGCCTGATTGTTCTCTGACTTGGGCACCTGACTTAGATTAAATTCATCAAGTGTCACAACTTCAGCATTAACCGCCTGCAGATATTTGATCATAGCCGGATGGGTGGCTCATAGTCACCATGGTATTGGCTGACAATCAGTTGTGAATCAGAGCAGGCGTCAATCTTTCTTACACATGCGGATGCCAGCCAGCAGGGCTTCATATTCCGCCTCATTATTTGAGGCTTGAAACTTGAACCGTAGTGCATATTCGTACTTGTCCCCTTCAGGAGACTGGCATATAATTCCTGCACCACAGCATTTCATAGTAGAGCTCCCGTCTTCATACGCTTTCCAAACCTGGTCAAGATTCTCCGGCTCAGCCGGCCTTGTATTTCGACAATGAAGTTGGCAAACGCCTGACCCTTCACTGCCTTCCTTGGTTCGAAAGAGATTTCAAGACTTTGCATTTCAATAGCCTATTTGAGCATCCTACCGGATGACTCTAAGGTTGTCATTGGCCGCTTGAGGGGTTGGTCTGTGTAGACCACAACCGGATGTGCCAAGAAGTAAGGCTTCAACTTCTTAACTTCCATGAAAAGAGCCAGGCCAAAATTTTCAACCATTGGGTACCGTAGTTCAGCATTTCGAAAAACATGGCTGATGAAATAGACCGAGAGCTGGATGTCGTTTCTCTCAGCAAGGAGAACAACACTAAGAGCATTATCTGAGACGGCTAAGTACATGTAAAGCGCCTCTGTTGGAAGAGGGCTAACAAGCCTCGAAAAAGAGTGTAAGTGTTCTTTCAATTTCTGAAAGGCCGCCTCAGCATCATTCCCCCATTCAAACCTAGTCTTCTTTTTGATAGCTTGGAAAAAATAGAGGCACTTGTCACCTGACCGGCTAAGGAATCTCCCCAATGTCGCCAGATAACCTGTTAACTTTTGAACTTCTTTGACAGTGCGGGGTGACTTCATGTCAATGACCGCCTGTATCTTCTCTGGGTTGGCCTCTATTCCCCTTTGATCAATTAAAAGTCCGAAAAACATCCCAAACTCAACACCAAAGACACACTTCTTGGGATTGAGCATGACCTTGTGTCGCTTGAGTGTGGTGAAGGTTTCTCGGAGGTCAGCAAGGTGATCCGCCTATAGCTTAGATTTGACTATCATGTCATCGATGTACGCTTCTACATTCCTCCCAATTTGATTAATGAAGACTGTATTAATCATTCGGTTGAAAGTAGCAGGCGCATTTTTCAAGCCAAACGGCATCACAATATAGCAGAATAACCCATGATCAGTGACGAATGCTGTCTTCTCTTGATCTTTTTTTCCACAAGGGTATCTGGTGAAAGCCTGAATAGGCATCCATAAAGCTCATCAAAGCATGTCAGGCATCAGCTTTTTTACTTTGGCGGCTGCCGCCCGACTTCTCTCCTCGCGTGGTTTCTTTTCTTTTGCCTAACCGACTTCTTTTTGGGATCCACAGCGAGCTTGTGGACAGCCAGATCAGGGCTGATGCCTGAAATCTTTTCCACTTCAAAGGCGAAGATGTCTTTGAGTTCCTTCAACAAATTGTGCAAGTCTGCACCCAATTTCGCAAAAGCAACCATCCCCACCTTAACAGTACGCTCCAAACCTGTGTCGTCCAGAGCAATATTAATGTATTCACCAGCCTGCTGGGGACAGAGTTCATCTGACCGTTCCCTGGTCAATGATTGCTATTGCCTTTCCTTCTTCAAGGCCACCAGCTGGTCGGCCTTTCTCTTCTTGCCGGCTACAGTTGGAGCAGGCTCGGCTTCCTTGACATCGTCAAGGTCTATTGGCTCCTCATCCTGGCCGGCTGCGGCCATTGTGGGCTTAACGTCTAAGAGGTAGCGCTCTCTAGCCGTCTTCTAATCCCCGTTCAGGGAGCCAATAAACCCATCATCCTTCTCAAATTTCAGCAGCATGAGGGATGGAATAATGACGGCCTTGGATTCGTTCAGAGTCGGACGACCCAATATTAGATTATAGGCAATCAGCTCCTCTACGACCGAGAACTGGACAACCATGTGGCGTCCATCTCCTTTCTCCCCCAGCCGAATGGGTAGGTCAATCAGTCCGACCGGGTGCACAACCCCACCCCCAAAACCAACCAAGGTGTGAGACACCTTGTGAATGCTGTCGGGCTTGTACTTCAGCTTTGACAAGCACTTGTAGCTGATGATGTCAGACGAGCTTTCGGTGTCAATGAGGATCTGGCCGACCTTATTCTGGTTGGCCACTTTGTACTCCATGACAATGGGGTCATCATGAGGTCGGCGGACCTTGCCCCTATCCTTTTTAGTGATGACGACCTTAGGGAAAGTGTCAATAGACGCTTGGCCCTCATCAACTGAACTGATATCCAGCCGTCTGACATGGTCCTTGGTGCCTCTAATGGTTGGGCCCCCTTCAGCAAAGCCGCCTGCTATTGTGTAGATCAGTTCTTTGTCAGTGTCCGAACTACTAGCAGGTTGGGCATCCTTCTTGGACGACTGTATGGGGTTTGTCTTCAGGGTCACCTTAGACTTAAGGATGTAAGACTTCAGCACCCCCTTATCAGCCACACGGTCCAACAGTCGCTTGAGACTATAGCAGTCGTTTGAGTCGTGGCCAATATCCTCATGAAAATGGCAGTACTTGTTTTTGTTTCGGCTTTTGGCGGAACTTTTCATAGCAGCGGGCTTCTCTATGGTCACCCGGTCCTTTATCTCCATGAGGATGGAGTAGCAGTCTGTGTTAAACTCGATTTTTGGGACGTACGGTTTAAACTCTTTCTTTTTCTTCTAGGACGACTGATTAGAGTCGTTAACCGCCCATATCTCTTTTCTCTTCTTGCTCTGTTTAGGTTTCTTAACCGGCTGAGCTTGCTTACTCTCTTTTTTGTCTGACTTCTTGGAGTCCGACTGCTTGTTGATGGAGTAGAGCTCGATCGCCTGTAATAGGCTTCCGCCTCCATCATCACTTCTTGGAGGGTGGTAACCCTCTTTCTAATAAGGTCAAACTTAAAGGTCAACCCGTCCTTCAGACCCTTGAAGAAGTCTGTATAAGCCACATCGTCAGACAGCCCTTGAAGCTGGATTCTCACCAGATTGAACCACCTGACGTATGACCGTAGCCCTTCTCTATCCCCCCGTTGCACTGCACCCAAGTCAAGACTTGTTTTCTTGGCAGGGATATTCATAGAGAAGTTAAAAGCAAACAAGAACGCCAGCGTCTTGAAGCTATTGATGCAGCCGGCTGGCAAGTTGCCGAACCATTATTGGGAGATGCCCTTCAATGTAGCCGGGAAGCATCAGCACCAGGTGGCGTCATCCAACCCCTGCAAGTACATGAGGTTGGTGTAGGCCATGAGGTGGTCTTCAGGTTGGTGGTACCATCATAAGTACCCACCATGACATTCTTAACCTTGGCCGGCTGTGCCGCCTCGGTTATCCCCTTGGAGAAGGCAGAAGGTTGTTCCCCAAGTTTTTGCAGACGGAGGTGCCAGTCCAAAGGTTGGACGTTTTGTGCCGCCTGAGCCCCAAAGAGGGTCGATTGCATGTAGGGTTGTCCATACGGCATGTATGGCTGCTGAGGCACATACGGGACCGAATGGATCATCTGAGGGCTAGTGTAAATGGACAGGCCGACTGACTGACTCTCTCGTACATATTGAGAATTCCTCATTAGGGTATTCTGGAAGCTGTCTGGGTAACTCAACGTTGAAGCCGATTGAGAAAGTTGCTGGTTTCTCTTCTGCTCAATTATAAAAAATAAAACTGTTTCCCCGGCAACGACTCCAAATTTTGACAGGCTAAAGTCGTATCACCTAATCAAAAGAATTACCTAAGTCCTCTAACTAAAGTAGATAGGGAAGTAGGGTCGAATCCACAGGGAAACAAGTCTTTCTACTCCTAAATAATTAAAATAATCTAAACTATCAAGTAACCAAATTGTTGTTATGTGAAAATTAAACTAGGGAAAAATAATTAAAGTAAAGCAAATTAAATAAGGGAGAAATCGATAAATCAAAGCCTAGGGTATAGGTTCACCAATAAATAATATTCCAGGGTAAAACACAATAATAAATCATTAATGCATAAATTGACCAGATCATAAAGGGCTTTCGCTACGTATTATAATCACATAATTAATCTACCGATATTAAATCGCATCTCTCGAATCTTAACTTAACCATTTATAAATTAACCTGCCTATTGAAACAAAGCCTAAACATCAATTCTCATCTCTCGAATCTCAAATTAATATTGCATAACTCATACGATTAAATCTGGCCAAATCTAATTGCATAGCAGTAAATTAATCAATAGAAAATCAACCAAAGCATTAACAATCAACAATAACAAATTACCCCTTCATATTATCTATGGATCCCCAAAACCCTAGAATTAAACTACTCGTACATAATTAAAACTAAACTAAGCAAATAAATTAAGCAAAGCATAATTAATCAAAGCAATTAAGTTACTGAAAATAAAAGGGGAAGAAATCGTTACCAAAATAAACGGAAATAATGGATTGCATAAAACTCAAAGTGTAGAGAGAGAAAATAAGAGTATTAACTAAAAGCCTAAAACTAATAACTGAGAATTAACTAATGAAAAAGACGTCCTCGTCACTTGCTTAACAAAACGTATTTATACTTAAGCACAAAAATCCTAAATAAAAACAAATTAAAAATCGTCGAAATCACCCTCGGAAACACGTGTCCGGTGGGGTGGAGCTTCGCCCGGTTGGGCGCACCTTTTTAACTATTGGATCTTCACTCGCGCCTGGTCAGGCGCGAGACAGGGCGAAGGGCGCGTTTCTTCCTTCTACCTCGCCTGGCCGGGCACGCCTCAGGGCGAGGGCAATCCCCGGTCGGGCGAGCTCTCGGGCAAGGGAGTTTCTTCGATTGGGCCACTCTCTTGGCCCAATTCGGATTTCCTCTTTGGGGCCTTGAAGCTCGGTCCATTGCCTCGAATTCTTCTTTTTCACCGAGCCCTTAATCATCGGTTTGATAACTCTAACCGGTCTTGGGCTACGGAAAATGGTCATATGAATGCGCTCCTGCTCCGATGCTCGTAGTGGCTCCAATAAGTCCGGGAAAATGCTCTAAATCCGCAATTTCCTATAAAATAATACCAAGACTACGAAAACACTAGAAAACACATATTAGTAGTAAGAGTGGCTTTAAAGAGCCAAGAATACTCTCAAATATGACCAAGGGACGGGGGTAAAACACTATATAAAATGAACATATCATTGGACATGCCGGATGGCCTTCCTCTTTCCTGTCTCAGGGAATCGGATCTTGGAAAGATCAATCAAGGGCCGCTTCCCCTCCTTTGATTTAGGATGCGAAGTGGGCTCTCGGTCCCTAACTCGCTTGTTCTTCTTAGAGAGAGAAGGCTTCTTGGCCAACTGACCCCTGTTGGAGCCAACCGTCCTTTTGTTGATCAGGTCCTTTATCTCCCCCTTGAAACTTGTCATGAATTTCATGAGTTCGTCTCGAGTGACGGGGGCTATACCTTCCGCCGCCTGGTGTTGTCCAGACGGCTGTCCGGATGACTTACTTGGACCAGCTTGATTATCGCCTCGTTCTCTTCTTTCCTTGGGACGGGTGCGTCTGGTTCTGAGTGACCCATCAGCAGCCACATACGTTTCGACTTCAAAGTCGTCATTACTGTCATGGTTCGAATAGACCTCAGCTTTGGCCGTAGGCCATTTCTCATTAGGAGGCGGTACAGACTGTTGTGAAGCCATACTAGAGGTACTCTCCCCACATACGGCGCCAAATGTTTCGGGGTTTCCTGTGTCCCTCAGGAGAATTACGTCACTAAGTCTGGATTTCGGGTCACCTGCAAAACAACGAAGACTCCGGTTGGGTGGAGTTCTACCTCCGACGATCAAGTTAAAACGTGTACGGAAAATGTAAAAAGGTGCGAAAAGTAAAGTGAGATCTTCTCAGATTCCGAGATCAGGTGTTTTCTCTAAGGTAAGAGAATTCAGTGTTTTCAATAATTGAATCCATCCTTTTCCCAAAGTGGGGTAAATCTCCCTACTTAGGGTCATTGAGATTTGTGCCTCTGTCCTAGGTTACAGAAACCTAAGACTAACAGGCTGTGCCGTTTTTGGGCAGTCTAGGGAATTGGGCCTTGAAGGCCGCCAATTCCATATGGAGTATCTGCCTGCCACGTGTCTAGCCCTGTTAGGTCGACTTTGGGCTCTCCCTAGAGTGACACGTGTCACGCTCTGGTTGGTCCACATGGCGGGGTAAAAATACCCAAATTAGTTGCCAAATTGAAAGTTAAATAATATGAGATATATATAAATTAATACTCATGAAGATTTGTAATTAAAATAAAAATAAAAAGGAAAGTAAAAGTGGCGGGAATTTTTTTAATCAGAACATGACAAGTGTCATGTTAGATTCGTTTTTAGTATTATGTTATTGATGGTCAAGCTACTGCTTTAATACTTTCTAAATTTGCAAGCAAGTCCTTCAAATAAACCATTAGAGATGCTCCCTCTTGCCTTACAGTTCATAAGGCGAGTTCTAAAACTTATTGTGCTTTTACTAAAGAGGTTAGTTTCCTGACTTACCCAATTGTTTTGTTTTGTACATGTATTATCTCCTATACTTATGAATGTTAATTCTCTCAAAACTTAATAAAGTGAATTTACTCTTACAAATCAAACCAAAGTGAACGGTGAGACTACAAGCAAAGCTCACCTACTCAGCAGCTAAAACCAAAAAATATTGCAAGTTGATGATTATATATTCCTTTTAATGGCCCCCCCACCTCATACCACTATCCTTGGAAGTTTGCCAATTTCCAGTCCATAAATTCATATTTTTAATAATAAATAAAATAAAAGTAAAGTACAAAAGCTCACCCAATTAAACTTTTCTTTTTAATTACTTTTCTGCTGAGTTTTGGTAGGCAGAATCAACCAATTAAAAACTTCTCCCACCTTATTTAACCGCCTTTTCATTTTCTCACATTAATTAATTTTATGGGTCACTGAAAATTAAAAATAATAATTTATATTAATAAAATAAAACATTTATAATAATCCTTTGCACTTGGTGTGCCTTCAACGCTAGTGGGTCCCTTCCATCCCACTTGTTCGTCTTGAACTTATGTCACCTTCTCCTTTGGCCCTTATCAAAGACTTGTCCTTCAAATTATTTTTTTTCCCTTTTTTGTTTTTCTCTTTTCATTTGAGTATCGTTCTTCATCTTTCTCATCTCGAAATTCTCAAATTATAAAGGAAAATCCAAATTGCTTGAGTATAAATTTCAATAAACTTGAAGCCGATTTCATAGAAAGGTAAAATAAAGGGTACTCCAATAACAAGTTTCAGAGTAATTTTATATTTACTTGCTGAATTTGAAGTCAACAAATTTGCTTACTGTTGTGGGTTTTGTAATTTGTGAGGAAAAGGGTTTGATTGAATCAAGATTTTGGCATCTGAAAATTGTTAATTTTTGAGGAAGAAATAATAGAGCTCTTAGATTCATGGAGCGGTATATAGTTTTTCCTTATTTTCGCGGTATTTTCGAGTGATTATTGTGTGTATCTTCTTAATCTTTATATAGAGTTAAAATCAGTGTATTTTCTGGGGAATTGTTGATGCTTGGTCAAAGACAATGGAGGTGTATATGGCCAGATTTCTATATCTTTAGCAATAGTTATTGCTGCTCTAGTAAATACTATGAAGAATCTGTTGAAGAAGCTGAATATTGTGCCAAATCAAAGTGAAGACATAGAAGGGTCTAACAATAATAGTGCTAGCAATAGTAGTAATTCGTCGAAATCGAGTAAGTTGAATGCTGGACCATCTCCTCATTCACAGGCACATCAACTATTTGAGCATAATAAACCCTTTACTACTTTGGCTGGATGGTTTCATACAGTTACTAATAGGAAGGGTGCTAGTTCCCCGTCTTCGTCGAATGCTAAGCCACATGATAATATAATGGAGCAACAACACTTAGAATCTGCCAGCAGTTGTGGTTTGAGTATTGGCTCTGATGTCGTTGCAAAGCGCGACTCGGAGTCTAGTAATGCAAAGGATCCTGACATTGAGGAAGAGTATCAAATCCAATTAGCTATGGAAATGAGTGCTAGGGAAGATCCTGAGGCTGTTCAGATTGAAGCGGTGAAGCAAATTAGTTTAGGCTCTTTTACACCAGAGAATACTCCTGCAGAAGTTGTTGCATATAGGTACTGGGTAAGTTTCCAGGCTTCTGTGATTATTTTGAACTACGACTCACTGATTCTCTTATTGAGTGTGTGTATGATGAGGCTTCGTGTTTGCCTTTATAAAAAAGATTATTTGCTCCTTGATGAAATGACAAATTTGTTATCGGAAGTGATGCTGTGTTAATCCCTGATGAAATGTGGTATATTGTGTTTGCTCCTTGCATGATTTTAGCACTGTTTGATTATGTGATGATTTGTTTTAATGATTTTAACGGATTTTTAATTTTTTTCTTTATGTCTACAAACTATTTTTGTGCATCATGCTGTTTGATTGATTTCGTATTGTCTTTATGCTGAACTAGCAGATTTCTTGTCTAGAAGCTTAATTGAAAGGGTCATTACATTGGCTGGCGTTTAAGCTATTATGGACTATTTAGAAAATTTTATTTGTAAATAATGATGGTACACTACAATATCATTCGGGAGGAGTCCTAAAGAACAACCTAAGCAGAACAGTGCATGTATCATCCTAAAAATTAGATGAACCTATCTGGAAACACTGTCGTTGAACCTTAACACATCGAAGCAAGAAAAACTAGAAGTTCACTGATGGTCTGTAGGCTTACATCTCTTATCTCATCCTAAAAGATGGTCTTCTTATCACAAGTGTAGTGTTATTGTTATCTTTGTATTTTCTTCTCTCACTTATGGCCTTAAGGGCTTCAACCACTTCAGTGAATAAGGTAAAACAAAGATATGACTTGACATAATTCCCTTGTGGCTCAAAACCATGATCCATGGTTAGAAAATACGATTTCAGCTGTGATCGCGAGCACGAACATGATTCGTTGATTTTGGGACCCTGTCACATATTTTGTGTTGTAAATTAGATTTCAAAGTACTTTTAGGATTTTCATAGTAGTGGCATGGTGTTAGCAAAATTATAGTAACATAGTTGACTTGTGGAGCAATTAGTAGGGTGGCATTTCAGCAACTATTTAGTTAAACACTAGATGTAATTTTCAATGCAGGGTTGGAAAGTTTTATCAGACGAGATTTTGGGTTTATGAAACACCCCTTGTCAATATGGATGATTTCATATTTTCATTTCGATCAATTGAAATTCTTTTAAAATGCGGCCCATTGAAACGATGCAACCTTTTTTTTGTAGTTTGTACCATGCCCTCACCGCCTAGACCGAACTTTAATGAGAATGATATGTATTGTACAATTTTGAACCAATCGAGCATTATCACTTCATCGTATCCTATCATGGAGATTCTCTCCCACATTTTCTTTTATGCACTCAGGAACCCAATTCTTCATATCATTTTGAACTCCTTCCATCTAAGTCGTCTTCAATCTCCATTGACTTCTAAATTCCCATGAAACAATATTTATTAGTCCTTTCCTGTTCATCTCCAAAGTCAGAATCTTTAATAGGATTACCACGTCAACAAACTATTTTTTTTAGTTTCATTCATCTCAATGCCTTCTATGCTTCTACTTTAGTTGTTCGTATATATTCGCAGTTTACTTCATGGTCTTCAATTGGGATGACTCTTGTCATGCTTTCCATTGGAAAATTCATCAAAGTATCCCTTTGAATCCTATGATCTTTATTCTTGTTCCACTTCACTTACAAAGGTCCTTATTAAACATTTGTCTATCCTATAAATAGCCAAAATTTGAATCTACTTTGTTGTAAACCTCTCACCCACCATCACACCCTTCCATTTGCTTGTTGAAGCACTTCTCTAATGTTAGTAATTTAGTATCCTTATATTACAATGTACATGTCATTCTTACATTTGCCTTAAGCCAAATAACTATCTCATTTTTTTCTTAACCGCTACTTTTAAGTTCTCATTTCATCAGCACCAATGTTTTCCTCTTTACCTCTCCTAGAACATCAACCACTCTAAATTAACTTCTCTTCACCTTCAACTAAGTCTGGTCCACCTTTACCTTTTATTAAGCTACACCATCTTATTGTTGATTCACCTTGAATTTTCCTCCACCTTAAACTTGTGTTGATATGGAAACCCAAGACTAAGATTTTATCTTGAGTAGCAACACTCCTAGATTTAACCTTACATCAGCAACACTCCTAGAAATAACCTTACATCAGTATTCATACAAGGAAAAAGTCTTGATTTCGTTTGCTCCACTTTGAAAAGTCATTAAATGAGAATCTTGGTTTGCAAACCTTATGTTAACTAGACAAGTCATATGATTAGGCTAAAATCCAAAATGTTCTCTCCTTCATCACTTCCTTTATAATCAAACCCTCTATGGACACTTTTGAAACTATTATATCTTACCCACATATTACCATTATGATATCCACCGATAAATAGTGTCTTTGAATGTGAAATATCATGTACCGCCTCGCAAGACTAATGTTTCAAGGCTACCTTACCATCTTCGGGCGCATAGGCACTTACAATAGTCACGATCTCTTTACTCACTTTACTCTTATCAGTCAATTACTCTTTCTATATACCTCAATTTTGTCTGTTAATAGTCTATCATTGATGATAATACAAACGCCTTCATGTAAATCCCCTAGTCCTTCCATCTACCGCTTTAAATACTAAACTTAGACAACCACATTTTGTCTACTTCACATTTAGCTTTTGCCTCATGGCACTCCCCTTATAGATACCCCTTTTATAAAAGTAATAAGGGAATATAATTTCCTTCCCTTCCTCGTCACCAGTTCACTATTTCTTTCCATGAGTTTTTGAACATATTTTTGAGATTGTAGTTGAAAATAATTTAGAGCCATTAGTTCTTATTTAATCGAGAAAAGTGGTTTAAACCTTTTACTTGTAAAGTATGTGAATACATTAATACACCTTAGAGGTCTAATAATGGAATAGAAGTCATTTAGGTTGCGTAGTGGTCTATGTAACTAATGTATTTGGTCTGATATACCCTCTTCGTCGCTTAAAGTTTGCTCCATGTGACTTTTCACGGTCTCCAAAGCATGTTTTAAAATGTAAATCTCTCCATTTCCATACGTGTAAGAATTGTAAAATATTGATATTAAATAATATTAATTGTAACGACTGCGATAGGATCCCACATGACTATATTATTTCTTGTAAATTGTTGAGAATTGATGGTCAATGTTATTAAGAATTGACCCTAAAAAAGGCAATAGGGCAATCTTTTGGGGATGGAGGGAGTATAAACATATGGTATCACGACTTTTTGTGGAATAGAAAATTCATCAGTTATAGAACAAGTATGATTTTCGTTGGTGCTTCTCACCCTAAAGCTCTAGTTTGAAAATAAAGGATGAAAAGTACTAGATCTGGTGGCACGAGGATCACACCTGGAAAAACAGTTATCACCACTTGCCATAAAAAACTTTCATAACCTTTCATTCAAACCAAGGGCAGAAAATTTGAAAATCTCTACTTCGAGCCTTAGTAAATCTGACCCACAATTGATTTGAAAACACTAGGTTAGGTTAATTTTCTTAGAAAGCCATTTTTGTGTAAATTTTATAAAATTGAAAATTTCCCTTTCATCATAACCCAACTACTACACAAGAATTCATTCAAAGAATGATGAGATGTATTCTTCACGCAGTGAGGATCACCCCACAATTATAGGTTTCCTCTTAATTTAACTACCTAATTCTGCAATACTTGGATTAGATGAATACTTATTTCTTATGAAGAATTCAATAATTCTATAGAAAACTTTGTAAGGGAAAATTATTTTAAACAATTTTCTGTTTGGCTTCAAGAATATTAGAGTGGAAACAATAAACATTATGCAACATCAGTCCACCTGTAAATTTTTTGAAGAAACTGAAATGAGTGTCTGCCAAGGAGAACAGTTTGGAACATTTGTGGGTCTAAAGGAGGTTTCATCCCACAATCTATTGGTGATGGAAGTATTACTCATCAAGCTTACAAGGAGGTTGATATATATCCTCTTCACCAATGTGGGACAACTCAAATGTGGACAAGGGGTTTTAATACCAACAAATCTTATAATAGAAGACTATAGACCACTATGGTATTAGTTTTTACATTTTGCAAATATTTTATGAATTAAAAATTGTTTGGAAATTTTTTAATTGAAAGGCCAGCGCCATCAAGTCGCAAATCTTATGATAATAGACCAAAGGACCATGCCATATGGTAATTTTTGTACACTTTACAAATCCTTTACAAAATTGGAACACTTTGGTATCTGTTCAACTGAAAGGGATTGAGCGTATACAGCAAAAAATTCTGTACACTCTCCCTTGTGCCTGGGTGAGTCTAGATATGAACCACCTTACCCCATTTTATGATAGTATGAGAGAGCCTTGTAAATGGTACTTGGCTAATGGCATGGGTTGCGGAAATGGAATTGATGTGTTGATCGTGGACCCTACCTTGTTTGTGGTACGAATTTGATTTTAAAGTATTAGGAATTTATCTTGATTTAACGCTATTAGAATAGTTAGAGTAGATTATTAGAGGCTTACAACCATTATTGCGGGAGACATGGGGAATCTTTAACTATATCTTTTAATAGCAAATAACTTTTTGAGTGATACATGGGATGTAACATTCAAAGCCGGATGATGTAGAGTAGGTATGTGAAATGATTTTGGGTTTTAAACCCCTATACTGAATTGGATGATTTTTGGTTTGGTCAATAAAAATCCTGTACAATATGGCCTAACTGAAAGGTTGTGGCCGTATTCTTGCACCATGGCTGATGGTTTTGTATGGTTATGTTTATTGTTAAGTGATCATTGTAATGTAGTTATTGGTTTTTCTAATTTCAGTTGGATGTCTGAAAGATCACTATGGAGTGCGGATTGCTCGTACTGTGACAATTTTATCACACAACAGTGATTTAATACGTTATGATTGAATTTTAAATGTTGATGAAATCTGTCCAATACATAAGTATTTTTTTTTTTCTTTAGCAACTACATGGAAATGAATTCCTTGGAAAGTGTTCATGCATGCTTATTAACTTTATTTGTGGAAGGGATGTTGGACTAGAATTTCATCAGTCAAATTGAGCTATCTTGGTTTCATAGTTTTGTTATCACAAGCAATAATGGCATGCATATAAAAGGCATCAAGGGGCGAAGGGAGTGTTACTCATTTTCATAAGGGAGAGCTAGTAATAGATAACCACCTTTTAAAGTCTAATAAAAAGGATAGAATAACACGATACATCCAGCTTCATTCCTACCTATCTCTGTAGATTTCATAGCAGCTAACTAAATGGAAATAAATTTCCTGAAAAGTGGTCATGCATGCTTATTAATATTATTTCTAGAAGGGATTTTGGTATTAAATTTCATCAGTTGCAAAGGGTTGTCATGGTTTCATAATTTTGAAGACAAGCAATAAAGACATTTATTAAGAAGACATCAAGTGGGTGTTATTCTGTTACAAACAGAAGGCTAGGAACCAACAACCCTTTAAACTCAAAGAAAAAGAACAAAAAGACACTTAATAGTGTTAATAGATCCGGATGCTATGGGGTGAAGAAAATTCGATGCTATGGGGTGAAGAAAATTCTTGAAAGAATACAAGACAGTGACCACTAATTTAATGCCAGGATTACAATTTAAATTTGGATTCATTTAACATTTTGTGGTTGGCCATTTTTCGTTATTATGCGTATAAGTGTATTACCAAAATAAATTTTGGTATATGTACTGTCATTATAGCAAATAACTCAATCTTTTACTAGAACAACTTGCTATACTGTTATGAGGTTGATGTGTCTTCTTGTATTCCTTTCTAACCTGTCTCATATCTTAGATTTGTCCATGCCTGACAGAATTACAATGCTCTTAGCTATAATGACAAGATCTTGGATGGTTTCTATGACTTTTACGGTGTGATCACTGGCTGTGAGTCATTGAGGATGCCTACCCTTGTTGACCTTCAAGCAACACCAGTATCTGAAGGTATTAGTTGGGAAGCAATTTTGGTCAACAGGGCTGATGATGCTAATCTTCTTAAGCTTGAACAGAAGGCCCTTATTCTTGCTGTCAAGGCAAGGTCAGAACCTCTTCTTCTAGGTGATTCTGCACTAGTGCGACAACTTGCGACTATGGTATCTGACTACATGGGTGGACCCGTTAGGGAACCGGAAAACATGTTAAGAGCATGGAAAAGCCTTAGTTATAGTTTGAAGTCAACTCTTAGGAGCATGGTGTTGCCGCTAGGTTCTTTAACTATTGGACTGGCTCGTCATCGTGCTTTACTATTCAAGGTACTTACTTTAATCCTGGCCCTATTTAATTCAAATTTGCCCCAAAATTAAGCCTAAGTCTAGATTTATACATGCAATTGAAGCATTAATTAAAAACTTAATTATGGCGATTGTAATCCAATATTCTACAAAACTTCTACATCAACAATTACGGCCTTATCTTGGAGTAACATGAATATCTTCATAGTTATCTAGTGTTGATCTTTCTTCTATCTTGCTGTTGAACTGGACGCTCTTCATTTATCTGAGAATATTGAACATACAATGTCAAAAGGTCTTATGTATTTTTTGATGTGAATTACTGCATACGAAGTTCTGCAGTCTCTCCCTGTCTCAATTTTTTTTTTGGTGATAGTCATGCTTGTCTGTTAGAGCGTGCCAGTGCAAAAGAATTAAAAATTCTTGGGGAGTTAATTTTAAGCTGCGTTTGTAAATATTCTCTTAGAGAATCCATTGAAAGCTTTAGTCTGGTTGTCTGGGGCTCTTATTCATCTGCAAGGAACCGACTCAACTCTCCTTATCTGGTCACATAAACAGGAAGAATCATAATTGCAGGCTAATAAACCCACAGAAAAGCTAGCTATGATGGCAGCAAGAAGAATATGTCAACTAAGATAGGGGACTTCAGTTATGCAGAGTTGCAATGAATTGGCAAGCTTATAGAATGAGAAGTATTGAGAAATTTGTACTGGCACCAAAGTTGGGAGAGTATTTCCACCTCTCAAAAGTGGGAAGGTTGTTATTGGTTCAATTACACTGATTAAGCTAATACAATAATTTTTTCTTGCTTCATTTCTACTTAAACAATGTAGAAAAAATCAATAATACAAATTAAATACCTGATTAGATAGTAATTTCTAGCATCATCTGGTGTTTGACAACTTGCAAAATTAATTTGTAGGGAATCATTAATGCTTTCAGAATCTTGTAGCTGTTGAATAAAAGCTAGAGGCATTAGGAAGATGGCCAAAATTTGAAGTTGAATGATATTTAGATCCTATACACTTTACTGCCAAAACTTAGCAGTCATAGTCTCATAGAGAATCTATTTTTAGCCGTCATAGAGAATCTTAGGGAACTGTTAATGGTTACGATCTTGTGATTGCTGCCTAAGTCGATACCATTAGGAAGACAGTCTAAAGTAAATTAACTCTACTTCCTGAGCTTGAGTCAAAGAGATTTTTTTTCTTCTTAATTTATTAATTATTGTTTATTTTGTGTTGCAATTCCTCATTCTTATATCTTTGACATGTCTTTTCGTTTAATCTATTTGTGAAGGTTTTAGCTGACAGTGTGGATATTCCATGTCGTTTAGTGAAAGGCCAGTTATATACAGGCTTTGACGATGTTGCAGTGAGCTTTGTAAGGATTGATGATGGAAGGTAAGGACACTGTGTAATTTTTTTGTACAATGAAAGTTTTCAGAAAGCTTGCTTTGTGGCTTTTGTTTGTTCTCTATAGTCCAATAAAGAAGTATTGAAAACTTAATGGAGGTGATGCTTTCCTATTTGAAGTCTGCATAGTTGTTTAATCAGAATTTATAAATGGCATATCATCCTCTAGTGTGGGATTTGGCTCTTTTGCTGTGGCTAACTCAAAGCAAACTTCATGCTTGTGATTTGTGATTGCAATTGTCAGTTTCTAGGAATATTATCATTTTTGTTTTCACTACTTTATGGAGGTGATTTAAAGGCTTAAAGAAATGTACTACTCTATAACTCTTGACATTTGGTGATTAACTTTCTAAAATATAGGTTTTATAATTAACTTGCAGAACTTTGGATTATTATTGGGATGAAATAGGATTTGTTTCGGACTACTTTGGAGGTTGTAATTGAATAAATTATTTAGTGTATTATTTTATTATATATTTTTGTTACTCTTATCTTCTATTTTTTCTTATGTGTCTTATTTGGTGCACATTCTCGTACCTCAAATGATTTCATAATGAGTATTCTGGTAGTTGGTTTTTAATTTTCTATTATTGCGAAATCTGAAAATGGGGGAACAAAAATCCCTTAAGGGCGGGGGTGAGGTGGATCAAAGTAGAGAAGTTTGGGCTTTTTAGGATGTATGGTTTACATGCTCTGGTGAACCAAATGTAGCATCTAAGCTGGACATTTTATTTTTATTTGTAATTGATGAAGGGATTGAGGTGTTCTGGATTTTTACAAGTCTTTGGGGATAAGTTTGTAGTTGATCATTTGCTTATTACTTTGGAGTCTTGTCCAGTTTTATGAAGTCCTACTTTTCATTTTTGAAAATATCTAGGTTGATCATTTTGTTTGGCATCTAAATGCTCTATGTTGCATATGGTTACACTACAAAAGCTTTGCCAATTTTCTCTATTTTCCATGCATTGGGATGGAATGTTGATGAGACTTTGGCTAGTCACTTGTGTCCAATGGTTAATTCAAAGCAAGTTAATTCCTCGAGTGTAGATTTATTTATTTTATTTAAAAAAAAAAAAAAGAATAGAGAAGTGAAGCTACAAAGCTTTTGGTAATATTACTTTTCTTCCGAAAATTTCATCCTCTGTAATCCCGCTACTTAAAGGTTCACAAAACTTTTAGTAGTCTAACCTTTGATTTTTATTTCAGGGAATTTATTGTTGATCTAATGTCTGATCCAGGAACACTGATTCCATCCGATATGGCAGTTATCCATGTTGACTATGCGGATTCTCTTTCTTCTACTAGTCCTTTGTCCCGGGACATTGAGTCAAATATGGGCACTGGTAGCAGTGAGGCGGTGAGTTCATTTGATGAGCCATCAGATTGTGGTACACTAGATGAGAAGATATACTTAAAAAAGCAGCCTGTTAGGATAGAAGATCCCAGTGACAGACTTGCTTCCACAGCTTCTGCTAACCTTCTCAGACCAGGATTTAGTGATGACGAAGTGCATACATCTACTAAGTTCAGTCCTAGTGAAGTCAAAAAGCTACCAACAGAAGCGGTTCCGTCTAGAAGTCAATATCCTATTTTGCATGCAAGATCCCCTTCCTGGACAGAAGGAGTTAGTTCACCAGCGGCTCGAAAAATGAAGGTGAAGGATGTTTCACAATACATGATTGATGCTGCCAAAGAAAATCCCCAATTAGCTCAGAAACTCCATGATGTGTTGCTCGAAAGTGGAGTTGTCGCTCCTCCCAATTTGTTCACTGAAGTCTATTCAGATCATTCAGATGTATCAGTCACTTTTACTAAGACTGAAGGAGAAAGAAGGCAAGAAAATAAAAAGAGGCTGGAAAGCAGAAAGCCTAATAATCTGGATGATTCTGCTCAACCAAAATTCTTGCCTCCTTTGCCTCTCTATAAAGAGCCACCAAGGGCTTCTCCTAGCTTGCAATTGGAAAGTTTAAAGCCCGTACAAGATTCCGGGATTGACAACGTAGTAGTAGATGCTGGAAAACGTAGCACAAATCCTTTTGTAATGCAATCTGATGTGACTCCAGTAAAATATGGGAAAAATGTTCCTGTTTCAGCAGCTGCAGCAGCAGCAGCTGCTGTTATTGCCTCATCCATGGTAGTTGCTGTGGCCAAATCGAGCCCTGATCCAAAGTTTGAATTCCCTGCTGCAGCTGCTGCAACTGCTACAACTGCTGCTGTGGTAGCAACAACCGCTGCTGTTGGTAAGCAGTATGAACATATGGATGCTTCTCCTCGCTCACCGTATGGAGATATTGGTTTCTTCAATGAAATGGTTGGCTCAAGGATTGGGGAAGGGGATGATGCTAGTGAGGATCTGCGTGGTTCTAGCAAGGAGCAAAACACTTCTGGAGCAAATTCAGAGGACAGAACATCTGATAGGTCAGCAGGGGGAGATAGTGCAAGCAGTGTAAGATCTGAAATGCCAGATGATGTGTCAGATTGTGAGATCTCGTGGGAGGAAATCACCTTGGGTGAGCGTATCGGACTTGGTACTAGACATTACACTTTGTTATTCAGGAATTGTGTATTCACCTACTTTAAGTTAAATTCATATTCTCTTCTTTTCTTTGCACTTGTAGGGTCATATGGAGAAGTTTATCGCGGAGATTGGCGTGGAACTGTAAGTAATATATGCTGACTTGGACATCTGATTGCATCTATACTTGTGTATCAAGGAATCACATTACATACTTTTGTCTCCAGGAGTTCATTTTCCCTTTGGTTTTTGTTTATAATTGGTTGAAGTAGATTCCTTCAACATTTGACCAGATAACCAACATCTAAAGCCTACAAAAGGTGTTAAAAGTAATTGTTATTGTAAAGGATGGTGCCCATGGTGGTGCTTCAGGATAATTGAAAAGCTGGGTTTGGGAAAGTACTTTCTGATTACTATTTCCCCTCTAAAATATGTGATAATAAAAAAAGATTGGGGTTTCAAATTACAGAATTGACAATGGCACGGAAGAATAAAGATCTTTTCTGAAATAAAGATGAACTACAGTACAGTGTCGTGGTCCTCTTTAGGGTGGATCTTTTCACTTATTATATAGTGCATTTTAATGTTTCATGCGTATGTTTTGGAGGGAATAAGATGAGGAAGTTTCTTTGGAGGTAAGCCTGCCCATAATATTTTTTGGGTTTTTAAGACTACTGCAGCATATACAGATTTTTCTTAATAATGTACAGGGTGTGAGTTTTTTGGGGTAGAGTATTTTTATCGGGGTTTCCTTGGTGCCACTTTAGGGAAAATTTTGTTAGGTTTCCCCCGATGATGCTTTGTATGGTTGGCATGGCATTATATTGTAATAACTACTACTTTACATTCCTTTTGATAAAAGGTTTATGTATTGGAAAAAAATAAAGTACATGCTTATCTCGTGATAAGGAAGCACATTGGAAAATTGAAGACCGAGTCTGCGATTGGAAACGTCAAGTTTTAGTTATTATTTATCCTTTGAAATTAATTACCATACCTTTAATGCTAAAAGTATAATCCTTAATATTATGGAGAAACAAGATGAGAATTGAAGTGGCAATTGGAACAGTGAAGCATGTAACTGATTGAAATAAAAATGAAGCAGTTTGAAATGATAGAGCTACAAAGTCAGCAAAGGTACATCTCAGTACAGTGGCTGATTTGTACCCGGATGTGAAGTAATGAACCCATGGACATTTTATTTTTGGCTTTAGTCTAGGCTCCCATTGAAAATTTGCGTTTGTATCCTGCATGACTTAGGTCATGGACAACTTATGGGCTTGTTACTTATCTGTATAGCTTTCTTAGGAACTATATGGTTTTACCACAATCTTAAAAGTGTGGTTTTAACATGTGGATTTGTCTCATGTTTATTTGATCAGTTACTTGATGAGCAGCTGTAGTCCTACAAACAACATCTTAGTGAAATAAGTGCGTTAATTACCTTTCCCTTTCCTGACATCTCCGTACCAAACAGCCCCATAAAGTTTTGGAAACAAGTTCAATTGTTGGGTCAAATTGGAGGATATATCTTATGTCTGAATTCATCGATTTTGGTTTTGGTCTAAGCATCAGTGTTGAATGTCATTCTGATAAAGAAAGCTGTAATGAGTTGAAGGAAAATTGTTGTAAAGTTTGTTTGCTCTTCTTGCTGTGGCTTTTATCTTATCTCTTTCAAGCTATTTTATTTTCTTTATGTTTTCTCTGCATGTTTTATTTGGAATTTATATTTTTCCATCTTAATGCGTCGTAATCTTTTGAAATATTTTTTTCAATTTTCAATGTCAGGAAGTAGCTGTTAAGAGGTTTTTAGACCAAGACATTTACGGAGAGTCTCTTGAAGAATTTAAAAGTGAGGTAAATATCCACCCCTCTCACGTTTTAAGTGCACTTGGCAGAGCAATCACAGTATCTTACAAAACTCTAATATTTCTCCTAACAATGTATCTCTACTCTTGGTACTGTCAAGTTTTGGCTTTGTATTACATTTTAGCACTATTTTGTGTCATTATTGCAGGTTACTGTGATTCTCATTCAAATGTTATGCTAGATTTACATGATCAATACGGGTCTTATAGTCTTAAGCTAGTTTGCTGATAAACAGAAATTTTAAGATTTTTCAGATGAAATTGAAATCTTATAACCTGTATTGGGCACACTAATTTACCCAGCTACACCTGTGTCAACAAACAAGACTGGGGTGCAGAAATGGGTTATGGGTCAGATTTGGGAAGGTGAAAATAAACTGAGCAGCTGAATTCACCATTCAATTCTTTTTCCTTCTTTTCTTCAGTTCCATTTTCGTCTTACCTTATATTTTTGATATCCCATTTTTCTTTCTTATCAATGAGGTCACATTCGTCTTTGAATAAATAACACATTTTGGGACCTAATCCTTGAGGCTTGAGGGCACTTTGAAATGCTAAATTCTGAATGGTCAAAATTCAAAATGCTAAGACAAGATAGCTGTTGTTTGCTTTTACTTGTTATTGGTTAAAATCAGATCAAAAGAAGGGGTCAATGTTGTCAATTTTCATAACAGAGTAATACTGACATTAACTTCTCTCGTTGTGGAATTGTTTCAAGTATTTTCCGAATGCCATAATTTATACTACCTCCATTTTTTTTGTAAGTTGACATGTTTTGACTTTAGCACTATTCACACACTTCCCTTTGACTGTGTTTAGTGATTTATACGTAATGAAAAATAGTCATGTGGGTGTTGTTAGATTCGTCACGAGTTATATTTTCTAAATATCAACTATTTACAATATTTGCTTATTGGTAATTAAAGATATTAACGGTGCATTGGCAAACGTGACTAAAGAAACGTGTCAACTAAAAAGAAACGGAGGAAGTATTGAATTTCATGATCTCATTTTTTTACTGTTAATCAAAACAAATGACCCAAGTATCCTAGAGAACCTAATAGAACAATAATTCTGCTAAGTGTGCTATATTTGGAATAGCAGTTGAATTTTAATCAAGCTTGAATATTATTGCATTTCTCACTAGATCTAACAAATCATATTTGATGAAATTCAGGCTGCAAATTAAGATTCTGTTATACATGTCCTTTAAGATGAGAACTTTACACTCTTTATAGATTCGTATTGTTTAACATATATTATGAATTGTTCAAACTGTCAAGGATAATGCTGCGTACATTTAAGATATACCCTACCTTATATGATGAATTGTTCAAACTGTCAAGGGTAATGCCTCTGACGTAGGGTCATTTAATGATTTTTTTTATTGGGTCTACATTGTCAGTGGATAATATACACCTTCTCATGACTAGGTTCGTATCATGAAAAGACTAAGACATCCAAATGTTGTTCTGTTCATGGGAGCTATTACTCGTCCACCAAATCTATCCATTGTTACAGAGTTCCTTCATAGGTATGCTCTCTTTCTATTGTGACCTTTAAAAGTGTAACTTTTTTCAACTCTGCACGAACCAAATTTTGGCATGCATGTACAAGCTTGGGGTTCTTGAGCGTATCACTTCAATATGACACGTGATTTGTACTTCCTAATAAAACACTTGAAACTGTTAGCAATGAAATTTCATTAAATTGCACATTATGGTGAAGAATTTCATGCTTTGGTTTAGGTAGAAAACTTACCTATTGCAGCCTATTGTTTACTTGATCTGCTTCAGCATCATCTTCGACATCTTTGTGATGCATGACTTTTCTGATATCATTCATATTCACTTGGTCTTCGTTTTTTGTAGCGGGGTAGGATAAGATCCCAAATACTAGGGTATCTACCCAAATCAGTCCCTAACCGGATAAAAAGATTTAAATGCCACATGGCAGGTTTTATTGGTCAGCTTTATTTTTTGCTTTTTTATTTTAATTACTTTTTCCAAGGAATAACTATTTTCCCCCCGACTCTGGTAATGGAGGCTCCCTCATCAACGTCTTAAATGATCTTGTTTTTCAGAGATTATTATATGGTTGCAAGCCAGTACTAGGCTATGAAAGACACTTGAATTTTCTATATATTGTGGATGAATTGCTACATGATAGTTGTAGGGCTTGGTTTTTTTTTTTTTTTTTTTTTTTTTTTTTTTTTTCTTTTTTTTTTCCCCCATGTTTTGTCATAAGACCTGAGTGACACCTACTTGGTTTCCTAATATGTTTATGTATCATTTACAAGAAAGGTTTAAGGTGATGGGGGGAGAAAAATGAATGTATGTTTAAGCCTTTAAGTTGAAAAAAAGTACCTTCATTTTAGGATGTCTCTATAGTAGTAAGGATCTTTATTTTTGGACAGGACTACCTTTTAATAAATAAAAATTCAAATTCCAGAGATGTGGCTGTATACATGGTATAACAGCTTTTTCTTTTTTGCAGGGGTAGTTTGTACAGATTACTTCACCGACCTAACAATCAATTAGATGAAAGGCGGCGTTTAAGGATGGCGTTTGACGCTGTAAGTGTCTTTCCTTCGTCTAGTGTTTGTACAATTTAATCAGCCAATTGTAATACACTCAATTACAGTATTTGAAGTTCCATTTCAGGCGAGGGGTATGAATTATCTTCATACATGTTCACCTGTTATTGTTCATCGTGATTTGAAATCTCCAAATCTTCTTGTTGATAAGAATTGGGTGGTAAAGGTTGGGTCCACCTCTTTTGTGTTTTTATTTTGAATTGGGTTCTTATAGTTCGGTTCTCCATGTATGGATTTTTATCTGATTATTTAACACCTTTTTTGTTAGGTCTGTGATTTTGGCTTATCTCGTATGAAGCACAGCACGTATCTTTCTTCTCGTTCAACTGCAGGAACGGTAAGTTATTATTCAGTTTTTTGTCATCGAGTTTGCATTTAATTCAGCATAAGAATATTTGACTTTCATTTGGATAGTTCACCCATCTTATGCGTTTGTTTTTCAGTAAATCAACTGTCATGCTTTCGAAATATGAATATTGATCTAAATCCCATAAGCAGACTATCTATAACTCATGTGTCTTTGAGAAATGATTGAATCTTGGAGGACCAAATTGCGTGAAGTTTAAATTCAAGGGATTTGGAGCTATATTATCACATAAAGATAATACTCCCTCCGTTTCAAAAAGTTTTTTCACTTGGAATCTTGACACTATTCATAAGATGAAAGAATCTATTAAATGAACATAGTCATTTTGGGTATTGTTTGATTTGTCTCAATGAGTAGTTTATTAATGTCAATTGTTATATATTTTACTATTATGCAATTAAAAATATTCATGGTCAAAGTAATGCGTTGACAATCGTGTACAGTCAAAGTGAGAAGATCATTTTGAAATAGAGGGAGTAATTTAAAGACCGGAAACTACCCTTCCACCCCCGCAAATACTTAGATTAATTTTCCTGAATTACCAAGATTAAAGGGTGAATGTAGATTTTGGCCTCACTAAGAAAATTGAAATTCACAAAAAGTCAGAATTTTATAACCACACAGCTTGAAATAGGGGCTTGTTTTGGAATTTCAAGAAAGGGGAACACAATTAACTGCCTTATTCCCTTTCATGTTATATTATAAATCAATTTAGCCATCCGCCCTACACTTTCCTTTACCATGCCGCAAGGCTAATTGAACCCCTAATAAAAAATTCCCAGCAACCACTTACTATGCAAATAGGGAAGCCAAGATCCTACCATATGAATGTCTATAGCAACAACCTAATAAGTGATTAAATACAAAAGGTAAATCAATTAATTTAATCTTATGGCATAGGTTCACTATGAATGTAGGACATACATATCAATAACAATAATCATGATCATACTATCTAGAATTTAAAAACTTTCTCAGCTCAATGTTACATTTAGACCAAAAATTTACTAGGCTTTCAAAATTTACTAGATAACTCTACATATTAGTGTTAAGTCTAGATGTGTACTACCTAACCCCTCTAATGATGTTTTTGAAAAACACAAGTTTAGTTTCTTTAAGTTTAGAATCAATCAAACCGATATTACTTCTCACAGATGTACTCTTAAATTTATGATTCAAATCCCCAAATAATTAACTCGCTCTTGGATGCATTGACGAAGCTACATGTGTGCACGGTGGTGCACGTGCACCTGCAGCCCCAAAAAATGAAATGAAATTTTAGCCTTTTTCCCCTTTATTTTTCTTTTTCTTTTGCAGTGGCTCCATGGCTAAGATCTTCAAACTATGAAGTATGGGGTAAAACTGTAGAAGATGATGCAATATTTGAGTTTTAGAATAGGTGTAGGACAGGTGGACAGCTGTCTAGGACTTATAGGTCCATGACCTCTACCCTCTATATATTTAATTCAAATAACTATAACTTTAAAAAATGCAAAACTTTTTTACTGTATTTGAAAGCATAGGAAAAAGTACCGAATACGGAGTAGAGTAAGAATTTAAAGTTATTTCTTACTAGGCAATAGCTTTTAAAGTCCTTACATTTAAGAGACTAAATACATTTTCGATACACCTCTTTTTTTTTTTTTTTTTTTTTTTTTTTTTTTTTTTTTTTTCTCTTTTTGGCTTAGAAATTAGTACGTGTAAGCTGTTTGGGTGGTTTTGCCTAATACTCCTTCTGTTTTTTAAAGTATCCCATCGTGACATGACACACATGTTGAGGCAAAACTTTGATCAAATAAATATATTTTTAATTATATAGAATGATAAATATAACAATTGAATATTAATAATCTACTCATTGAGACGATTCCAACAAATACCCGCAAGACTATATTTTTTCTTACTATGTATGTATAATTCACAAACATTAGTCAAAGTATGTTTAATGAATAGTGCCAAAATGTTCAATGGGGCACTTAAAAAAGGCGGAGGGAGTATAATAATAGACTACAAAAATGGTTAAAAAATATAAAAAATATCAAATTACTAATTAAAATTTAGACACAACATCCGCAACCCATTCTACGATAACCGCATCATTTCCGTTATTGTAACTCATGACCGTTACCGATATCGCAACGGAAACCTCATTTTCGATAATTGATGATGACTCACCATCTCAAAAATCCTAGATCCGCCACTGCTTGGACGTTATTTAATAACCCACTCTTGGACGTTAATTATTTGAGACTAAACCCTTAGCATACCCGGACACTAAGGGGGGCTGTTTCGTTGTCTAGAGGGAAAGGGAAAGGGATAAAGAAAGGTATACTTGGGAAAAGGAAAGAAAAAGCCCTACTTGTTTAATGTTGTTTGTTTAGATTTAAGTAGGGGAATGGGAAACAAAAATACAACAATCAATCCACAATATTACAATCTTTACCACACCAAGAAGACTTCAAACACAATCATTGATCCCAGTCTTTTTGGGTCACCAACAACTAACATCGGCCACCATCACCCCACCTTTTGGTGAGGTGGTGACCACCTATAAGATGACTTCCACCATCATCCCCCTTTTTATATCTTTCTTTTCACTCTTCTTCAAATCTTGTCTTCTAGTGGGCAGGGAAAGAGTTCCGTGGGGTTATAGGCGGGTTGGAATAGGGTTACAAGTGGGTTGGATTGCGGTTTTGTGAGGTTATGGGCGGTGGTTGGGTAAATTTCGTGGAGGTTGATGGTGGTGGTTTGGTGGATTTGTGGAGTTTAGGTGGGTTATGTAGTTGGGTGGTGGGATGGTGCTGGTGAGGCCGGTTATGGTGAGGGTGGATCTGGAGGATGGAGGTAGATGTATGGCATTGGCTAAAGAAAGGGAATTCAAGTACCTAGAGGGGGGTGGGGAGTCAACCTAGTAGACTTTGGGGGAATGGGGAAGGTAAAGGAAACATCAGCCTACCCTTCTCTGGATACCCTGAACCAAACGCTCCATAAGAAATGATCATAGTGTTAAACTACTCTTGTAATTAAGAATAAGCAAAATAAGCAAGCGACGAAGCTGAAACTGAAATTGAAAACCCTCTCAAGTTGGTTCTAGAAACCTGGAAAAACTATGACTTTGAGCAAATTAATTAATTGATGAACCACTTTAACATGATGCAGTTATGTATCTGAATTTTAGGTTTGACGGATAAAGTTAGACCAAATTTAATTTAATTTATAAAATTAATCATGCCCATAAATTGTTAAGATTAATTAAATAATTAATCTTTAATACACACTTTGATTTTGTATCATTCTCACCTTCTTTGAAAGAAATTGCTGCTTGAATTTTACCTAATCTCAACAGCAAAAATCAATCAAAACCTCAATACTTTGTACCAGGATTCACGAACCCCCAAAAATGATTAAAAATTGGAGATTCAACATTACAATTTTAAATTACAATTTTACCTTCACACCCAGTAACAATATCACTCTTGTCAAGTTGTCAATCCCAAAAGTATTGATCAACTAATCAGGTGTAGGGTCGAATATAGTATCGAAATCATTGACGAACATCTGTTTTTTGATGACCTAGACAAGGTGTACTGACTACTTAAATCCGTTTTAATATTTGAATCATGTAGATCAATTTGCACCACATCTAATACCACTATAGGAAGACATGAATTTTCCTCTTTGATTTCCTCCTCGTGAGCATTCGCACTAACTTGAACCACAGCAAAGTTTTCTTAATTGCAAGCATCTCGTACAAAAATAGGTGAATTTTTTTTTTTTTTTTTTGAAGACAAAATAGTTGAATTATTACAACTAGGATAATCTCCATCTTTGTAGAACGATTTACTAACTGTCATTCACATACATTCTTATTATGATCCTTGAGTAGCTAATGTCCTCTTTAAACCATTGCAGCCATTGAATTTGAGTAATATATGTTGAATTAGTGCATTGGAAAGTATAGTGACCAAATCCTTGACAAAATGGGTACCTATTAATCTTAGGTACAGTACCCTGCCTTGCAAATTGCAAGCAACCTAATTTTAGGCAAATTGGAAAAGTCGCGAGTTTATGAAAAATAGGCTCTCGAAATTTCTCCCGAAGTCTGCTTGATTTGGCACGAATGCAATTCTAGGGGAAATCAATTAATACTTCAAACACAATTGGTGCAATCCCATCGGGCAGGTTGCCTGATCAGTGGTGTGCCTCAGTCGTATGCAACCAAAAATATCACAACTAAGCTAACTGCAAATAAACGTAGTTAGGGAAGTCGAGTTCGAATCCACAGGGAAAAAGGGACTAATAACTGGAAACCTAAGTGGAAATACTCTAGGATGGTAGTAACCTAAGTAACGAGGGGGGTTTTCACGAGCAATGATGATAAATGAACTAAGTAAGAACAACGAACGTAATGAATAGGTAATCAATGAGAAGAACGGTCTTGGTTATGCGAAATCCACTAATGAACATACAAATTGATCATAGAAGTCTCCTCAATCAAGCTCTATTGAACACCTTGTTGTAGAATTCCTAGATTCTAAATTCTCATAAATAGTTAGAAATAGCAAAGCGCTCCTTTCTAACCCTTTCCAATGCACAATTCAATACAAGCGCTCTAAATTATCCACAAGAAGAAAATAAACGGAGAAATCAACAAGGATTGAATAAATTAACACAAGCGGTCTAATTTCTTCAATAATATTATTCCCTCTTCAAGTTATCAACCAAAAGCATGCATCAATAACCTAAAGTTGCTACTTTGGAAAGATTAATTAGATGCAAGCGAATCCAATAATTCTAACCTAGCAATTGATTAAAGCAAATCATGAAATTAATTCAAGGAACAATATATATTCAATAGATATTAAGAGAAGAAAGATCTCACAATTCGTAGCTAAAAGCTTCAATCTTTAACCAAGAATCCGGAAGATTAAGCTTCCATGGATTCTAATTCCAAAACAAAGAATTCTGAA